AAAAAAAAAAAAAAAAAGAAAGGTAAGTGGAGCCAAAGAAAGGGTACAGATCTTTAAAAAGAAGCACTTCTGCAGCAGTAACAGCACAAGTAAATCACTCTCAAGTATATTAGAGACAACAATTTTTGACAACTGGTTTGAGTAGAAACAAAAATATAAATATAAATTATGAGAAATGAGGGAGAAAAGAAGAAATACAAATCTATACTAATTATAGATGAAAAAACTCATAAACAATGCTAAGGACAAAAGTATCCTTGTTAGTACACACATTTATTACACGTTAGCAACAAACAATGACACCATACTTTTGCAGAGCCATCTCCTTCTGCTGATAGAGTTCGTTCAGAATCTCCACTTTCTGCCGTAAGGTTACGCACTCGTCTTCCAGTCTAGCTTTAGCCGCCTGCAGTGAACTGCGGTCATCTTCTAAGTTTTTTATTTGGTCTGTAAAGGATAAAACATTTGTGTTCTATGTGTGTGCACAGGACTTGAGAACTTAGTTGGGAGGTAGAGTTGAGAGGAGTGAAAAGTCAGAAAGCGGAAAGCCATTCTTTATCTTTCCAATCCAAGTTTATATGCTGCAACTTCATCTGAAGAAATAACCTACCTTCCAGGTTACATTTAGTGGACATTGAGGCTCTTAGCTTGAACTGTAAAAGTTTTAGATCCTCTTCAACCACTGATATTGCGGTTTGTGTCTAAAAATTGGAGAAGAAAAGACATATTCTCAAAAGTGAGGCATGGACTTTTGTGGACATGGAACTTGCAGGACTCTAATAAGGGACTATACCCGAGAGACGTCCATCATCTGCTTAATTTGATTTTTCATCTTCTCCTTCCGGTTACCTACAAAATAGAAGGCTTTCATTGCTTTTTCTTCCCCCACTTTTTAACTGTATTTTCTTGATTTCCCCCAAACTAAACAATTATCATTTTCAAACACTAAAGAAAAAAACAAAACCAACAGAACTGATTGACTTTTAAGAGAATTGCTTCTTTGGGGATCTTCATTTTTTTTTAAGGAAAAAAAGAATTACAAACTTAATTTCAAAAAGTAAACTCCCATTTGTACAATAAAAATGTTATCTATGCCATTCTGTGCAAGAAAAAATATGTGAGATAAAGCCCATTCTTCCCTCTCAGATCTCACTTTTATCTGGAACATATGTCTTACGTAGAAAAATTCTCGCCTGCAGTCCCAGCTACTTGGGAGGCTGAGGCAAGAGAATCTCCTAAGCCCAAGAGTTGGAGGCTGCTGTGAGCTGTGATGCCAAAGCACTCAACTTAGGGTGACAAAGTGAGACTCTGTCTCTAAAAATTAAAGATTTACTCCTGTTCTCTTCCAAGTGTGATTTAAAACATGCACCTGCAAGCAATATCCAACTTCACAGGCTGTGTTTAGAAGCATTTTCCCATCCGTAAACACTGCTACCCTCTAGCCCCCCTGCCCTCATGGCCTTAGTTTATGGCTTTTACCACCTCAGTATTCTTTTTTTTTTAACCCTAGGTAGAGTACCATACCATACTACACTATTATAGTTCACAACAACCTTAAACTCATGAGCTCAAGTGATCCTCTTGCCAGCAGTTCTCAATCTGTGGGTTGTGACCCCTTTGTAACAACAAAAATACATCACGTCATTAGGAAGGTTGAGAACCACTGGAGTCTTGTCTCACGTAGCTGGGACTATGCCCGCCACACCACCTGTCTAGTTTTCCTAGGATTTTTGTTTGTCTTGAACTCTTTTTTTTTTTTTTTTTTATTGAGACAGAACCTTAAGCTGTCGCCCTGGGTAAAGTACTGTAGCATCGCAGCTCACAGCAACCTCCAATTCCTGGGCACAAGCGATTCTCCTGCCTCTGCCTCCCAAGTAGCTGGGACTACAGGCACCTGCCACAACGCCCAGCTATTTTTTGGTTGCAGCTATCATTGTTGTTTGGCAGGGCCGTGCTGGATTCGAATCCGCCAGCTCAGGTGTATGTGGCTGGTGCCTTAGCCGCTTGAGCCACAGGCGCTGAGCCTTGTCTCAAACTCTTGAACTCAAGCGATCCACTTGCCTCAGCCTCCCAAAGTGCCAAGATTACAGGGGTGAGCCACTATGCCTAGCTCTCAATATTCTTTGAACTGAATGTGGGTCTTTAAACTACTGAGTTAAAGAGATGATGAGTCTTAAAATTACATCTTCATGAAGTTGAGAAGAGCTTCTCCTACTATATGTACAGACCAAACCAATGTAGTTCCCGTGCATTCAAGTTCTCAAAGGAATGGGAAAACAAAAAGTTCTTTGCATGCCTACTGCTACACCAAAACCAGCAACCCACCTTTGCCCAATGCAAACAGAAAACAAATACAGAGATACATGCCTTTAACTCTAAAGCTTATGAGGAAATCCAGACAGCTGAAAAGTAACATCAGTGTACTTAATTAAAAACAATAAGTCAAAAAGGAAGTCCATCTTCCTTGAGACTGATCTTACCTCCTACTTCTCCATTTGCTAATTCATCTGACTCATTTTCTCCTTTATTTTGGCCCTCAGATTCAGATTCACATTCTAACCGATTCAACTGTGTAATACAATTAGTCAAAGCCTAGAAAAGAAGAAAAGGGTATTGGTAAAAGCTCTCAATTTTAATTCAACAGATTCCATGAAGAATTCAAAGGAATTAAGCATGTATTCATGAGAATGAACTTACATCAATATTATCATCTTTATGAGTAAGAGCTACTTGCAAATCTTTCTGAGACTCCTCAAATGATTTGATTTGCTCACTGAGCTCAGCATGTGACTTACTCCAATCTTCAATTTCTTGCTGCAACTGAGAAATGAAAATATGTGATTCCCAAAGTTAGGGCTTCTGCACTGCAGACATTAGAATCACGGCCTGTCACTATGTGTTAAGACCTCAATTAAGGGCGGCCCCAGCCCACAGAGGTGCAGTGAGAATATCACAGCTATCAAGGAAGCTGTTCCAGGATATTACATCCTTTTAGAAAACTGCAGCCAATTCAAATCATTCACTTTCAGTAGGAAGAGAAGAACACATCCTACTGTCTCTCAAGTGAGAATCATGATCAGGTAACCCTTCCTTGGTTAGTGAAGCAGTAACAACTCAAAGGAAGGTTATAAAATATCTAATTCTTAGGTCTAAAAAGCTAATCCAAAGTCAGGCATGGTAGCTCACACCTGTAATCCTAGCACTCTGGGAGACTGAGGTAATGGACTGCTTGATCTCAGGAGTCTGAGACCAGCCTGAGCAAGAGTGAGGCTCTGTCTTTTAAAAACAAAACAAACAAAAAAAACCCAAAAAGCTAATCCATCACCCTCTCGAGGCTACTCAAGTTATTAATAACTGGCTGGTGTTTGACAAAACAAAGACAATACTTGATAGCTGTAATAAATTGTACAGAAGACAAAAAAATCAGTAATAGAGACCATATATATATATGTATATTATATATATTCAATTTGGTGAGCACAGTTTAAACTTTGTATATCTAAGAACAAAATACTCTATGGATATTTTGTTTCTTTAAAAGCAGATCTGAGAAAAGATATTAACAAGGTAGTAACATTAGGTTCTCTATTTTATATGACCTAGAACGTAAACTTTTCTTTACCTGCTCTTTCTTCTTTTTAAGCCTAGCATTTTCTTCTTGGACCCGATGACATTCAGACTTCACTTTCTCTTCACTAAGCTTAGCTTCATTAAGCGCAATTTGAACCTGATGCAAAACACTCCTATTAATGAATTAATTCCAAAATAAATCTCAAAAATTATTACATTTTCCCAACCAGATATCATGTAGTTTTCATTTTTTACATGTTTTAGCAAACATGAAATTTGTGCCCCTTGACATTACTAAGACATAGTATTAATATCTTGCAGGAATTGTAAGCAGCTTTACCTCTGAGAATTCTGAGGCATTCATTGAAATAACATCCTTTAACTTCTCTATAGATTTCTTATTTTCCAATATCTGCCATGTGAAAATAGAACGTAAAATATATATTAAGATTTCAGTAGAAACACTGGGATATATGCTAAAAAGAAGAAATAATAAAACATATTCCAGAGCCATCCTCTATGTCTCAGGTAGAAGCAGATGATCAGGTTTTGGCCAAAGGGAAAAATAAAGAACTTTACAAGGAAAAATAATTGGAGGCATAAATATTTCACAGTATCTACAACTTTCCTAGTTCAGAAATAATGTGTAAATGACCAGACCAAAAGATGAAAGCAAAGAGAATGAAAAAAATTTCATGTAAACCAGTTCATAACAAGGTTTTTCTCCTAGTGGTAGAGCAAAAAAATCCCCAATGTCACTTTAAAAACTGTCTTGCCTGAATTAAAAATGGTAGCATTGGAGGGAGAATAAAGACAAATCTCACATAAACAAATACCAAATAATTTATGAAGATACTGGCTCCTCAAGGAGGTGGAGCATAACTCAACCTTTTAACTGTGGTTTGCACAGTAATTTCCTTCCAAAGAGTACAATGTGCAGAAGGTTTAAAAAAAAAAAAAGAAAGAAAGAACAATTTTACAGTGCAAAAACTTGGCAAATACATATTGGGCTTATGGGAACCCTCTCACCTATCTTTGCAACTTTCACATAATTCTAAAACTATTTTATAGTTAAAAGTTGATTGAAAAAAGAACTTTGCAAAGCAAAACAAAATATAAGGGCTGCTCAAACTGGGTTACAGTTTCTTAGTTGTTCAGTATGTTGTGGTGGGCAGAGACAAGCAATATAAAAATTACCAAGCGTTGAGTACAAAAACAGTTCCTAGACCCATAATAATAATTTTTGTTAGTACTTAAAATTCCTCAAAAAAAGGAAAGAAACAGGTTCAACTTCCCTGCCTCCCACTCTTTTAGTTAACAGAATGAAAATAGAGTTCAAGGCAATCTACAAAATAGTTTGTTCCAATTTTAGTGTATGTGCTGCAGAAAAGTGAGCACTACAAAATAGTTTGAAAGTCAAATTGCGGTAACACTTAGCAGCAAAACTCCTACCAAGTCCTGATTCCTGACATTCTGTTCTCTCTCAGATTCTAACATAATACGGAGACTTTTAGCTGTGTCATCCAGAGATTCATTAGTTTCTTCAAGTTTCTTGATTTTATCCTATAAAAAATATGTAAATATTAAGATTAGAGGAATAGTCAATACTTTTATTATTATTTGTAAAATGTAATCTCCCAAAGGAATTTTACCTTAAATTTAATTGCTTCATCAGAGAGAATCATATTTTGTTTCTTGGTTTCCTGAACATGTTTCTTTGATTCCTTTATCTATATAAAATAAAGAACTCAGAATTCAGAATTATAAATTACATTGCTACCAAATTTATTTTTAAGTGGGTAACCCCTTATGTAAGCATGTGATACTTTACACATACAATGATTATTTAACATATAGATGATTTTTAGGAAATAATGGTATAAGAAAATATGATTTTAAAATACCATTATAACTGAACTAAAAGGTGGAAATAATTCAAGCTGAAACTATGGGGGGAAAAAACAGAAAGAATAATTATACCTTCTGTTCATAGTTTGACAATTTTTGAACAAGGTCTGCATTTTCTTTCATGATGGCCTTTAACTTCTCAGAAATTTGCTGTTCGGTGACTAAGAAAAGAAAAAAACACAGAAGATTATTATGATCACTAAACAGAACTCAATTACCCCATGTATTAGCAGTAAAGACATGTCATCTGCCACAGGGAAAAGAACGTCATAGAGTAACCATTATGGCTTTAAAAAGCAATCTACAGTTAATAGCAATAAGGATGTAAAAATATTATTAAAATGTAAGAAAAATATAATAAAAACTCTTATTTCAACGAGAATCCAATTTAAATTTGATTCAAAGATGGGAAATACAATATGCTATAGCTTGATACTCTTCCCTGCATGAAGCCCCTTCTCAGAAAACGGAATCACTTCAAGTATGTATATATGTCATTTGCAAAAAGAAACAGAAAATATACACACACTGATTTACAGTTCTTTTTCTCAAAATATCTACTTAAATATTTAAGGTATTGATTAAATCATTAGCACAGGAACACTATTTACAAGTACTAAATCTGCATTATGCAAGATTGAAAGCCACTCTGTCCCATATTAAACTAAACTTCTCCCTACTCCCACAATTTGTTCCTTCTCATCTACCTCAACTGGTAACATCACTAACTACTCTACCATCCAAGCTAGCAACCTAGGAATAGCAAAATTGTCAGAAGTTATAAGTCAACAAGACATGAGAAGTCACGGTATCTACTTCAAACTTACATATGGAACAGCAATACAAAAAGGAACAGTACAAGTAACAAAAATTTACCTTGATATACTCTATTCTTTACCTACAAGAGAGAAATAAAATAAAATTTCATGTCAAACATTTTACTAATAGAAGCACATAGTTCCTAATAAAACACTCAAAATCATAACCAAATTAGAATGTATTAACTCTTTGGTGCAGCAAAATGAATCCATAGGATCAAAAAAAAGGTTGAAAAGCATTTCAAATTTAATTGGTTAACAATATGTCTGATATAATTAAGAAATCAGAAAAGGAATATTCAATTTTAGAAAGCTCTATAATCATGCAAAATTTTGGCCACTTAAGTTTCAACTGAAATCTTTTCAACTGCAAAGCTTATTTACACATTATATTAAATAACTATGAAGCAGGATGATAAACAGTATAATCATAAGTATACACACACATATATGTATGTCTGAAAGGAATTCTACATAGGAAAAAAGACTCTTAAGGAATAAAAAATTTAATAATACGTCTTTGGATATTACCAATGTATTTCCAAATAAAAAGATATTTTCTGAGTATAACAGCATATGAACAAATCAGAAAATCTGGGAAACATACATATGAGAAAAAATAAATTACCTTATCACCCAGACATAAGAATTTTTTGCAGCATTTGTGCGTGTGGGTGTTCATATACACATGGTTTATCTACACTTTAAAGTCTTGATTTATTTTTTTCCACTTAACATTAAATTGTGACCATTTGCTGTGCCACAATGTCCGTGAAATACATAGAGCCACCCAATATCCATTACACGAATGTATGACATTTAACAATTCCTGTACTATGGTGTATAATAGCTGTGCCAAGTTTTCATTTTCATAAATACTGTTCTGGTTAATGCTCTAGTACAACATCTTTAATGTATGATTGGCTATTTCTTTAGAATGGATTACTAAACATGACATTAATACTTTACAAAAGTATATGACCATTTTTAAGACTTCTGACACATACCACTAAACTATTTTTCAGAATGGTTATATAAATTCCCAATTCTATTGACAGTGTACAATGTGCCCACTTCTTAATCTTTTGGTTTTGATATAAGAGATTTATATATTAAAGATTTCCCATTGAGATCATACACATGTTGTCTTGCTCACTTATTATCACCACAAAAATTACACTAAATTATTATTATTATTATTATTTTGAGACAGAGTCTCACATTGTCACCCTCAGTAGAGCTCATCACAGCTCACAGCAACCTCCAGCTCTTGGGCCTAGGCGATTCTCTTGCCTCAGCCTCTGGAGTAGCTGGGACTACAGGCGCCTACCACATCCGGCTATTTTTTGGTTGCAGTTTGGCCAGGGCTGGGTATTTTAAGGTTAGCTTAAATCATAAGCATTAATTTGTGTTCAAGTTTGCAACTAAAAAAGAAAAATAAGAGAGCTAGCAATTATACAACAAATCTTGTATTTATAAATTAATTTACTCACAACAAGGACAGTTCTACAGAAGAAAACGGCAAATGAAGCAATTCCCAAGAAGGCAGTGATAAGTACGGGTTTCCATGGCAGTCCATAAAAATCAGGCCCAGGCTGAACATCATCAGTCAATGTAGCAACTAACTGAAATGGACATATTAGACAGAATGAGAAACCTGAAAGGAATTTAACAATAAATCAGTCACAAAGAATTATCCATACAAACTGGAAACCAATTTCTATCAAATAATTACTCCCTCAGAAATTTTGCAGTATCTCCCACTGTTTCAAGAAAGACATTAGGAATCTCATTTTCTTGTTTGGCTTGTAGTGTTTTTAAGTTTTATGATTCTAAGTGTCTCTAAGTTGAGGATATAATTCCAATTTGCAACAAGCCCTGCCGCATCACATTGTCTAAAACATGGCTAGAATCCCTCTGCATTATACTTTTCTCTTGCATAAATTGGTTATTATTTTTAAAAACCACCTAAGACAAAAAAATGTAAACATACACATAATCAACCTTTATGACTGCAAATTAAAACAATATGATAAAAATAAATAACACAAATGATGTTTTATTCCTCTAAGTTCTAAATCTTAAATCTATTCTACTTTCACATAAACAAAGAACAAATGCTGAGTAAGTTCAGGAAGTACCTGATAACTGGCCTAGATTAACTACTCTGAATTTACCATATACTATAAAACTCAATGCCTTAATTCTAAGTGTTTCCTCGAAGACTGCATTAAACAATCACCTGTTTTACTTGCCCAGTGTAAGTACACCATCACAGGGGTCCCACTCACCAAGAGAGCGTGTGTGTGTGGGGGGGGGGGGCGGGAGGGTGTTATGGGGAAAAGACCTGCAGGCCTGCTTCCATCAAGACTACATACAAAAATATTCCAAAGTGCCTGTCAGTATGTAAATGCTCAACAATAAAATGAGCAAGTGATGAAACCTTCTCAAACACACTCTCATTCCCCGTGCTTCCCTAAACAACACAGAAACCTCCTGCCTGCCTCAGGCTTCGCACATTCCATTTCCCCTTTGTACCGTCAGCGAACCCACTCTGCTCAGAACTCATCCGCCCGCCTGTACAGCTGGGGTCCCTCCCTGGAAATTAGGACCATCACCTCCAGCAGCTTGGCTATAAACGCTGCATAGAGAACGGACAGGGGTCCCAGAAGCTCCGGGTCCCCCGAGGCAGCGGTGATAGAAGGCACTGTGGCAGGTACAGAGTCCATTGTGTAGGGCCAGCTGAGTGGGGAGGCGACGCTTCCCTGCGGAATGGCACTGGATACCACTGTCTGTCGCCGTTTCCTCTTCGGGACAGAACCCGGCTGCAGAGACGGACTGCGGTAGTGAACTTCGCCTTCCCCAGCTACTCTTTCCGCCCTACGCCGCTTATAAAACACGTCATCAGATAACGCCCCAGAGCGGACGTCAACGTACCGACGCAGGCGAGCCCGTGAGGGCGGGACCAGAACTGAAAGAACCAACTAAGAAGCGGAGCGGAGGAGAAACCGTGACTAGGGCCTAGCGGAAAAATCAAAGTAGAGGGAGGCGGGATCCTGCCGGGTGAGAACTGCCAATTTAAAGGAGGACCACAGTGACCAAGCGAGGGAGCTACCTGCGGGAGGACGGCGAGAAGAAAGGCTGACCTCGCATGCCCGCCCAGAGCTGGACCCTCGCTCACTGCGCGCTGAGACACCAGGCACCTGCCCTACCGGTCCAGGCAGGAAAGGCGGACACCTCTCCCACTCGCGTCTGAAGGACCGGGGCGCAGACTGGGCTGCTGCCTACTGGGCGAACCCTTCTAACCTGTCCTCTTCAGTTCGCTGCTCACTTCTCCGCTTTCTGAACTCCAGTTACTCAAGTTGTCTCCCATTCTTTCTAACACTCTATTTAAAGGCCTAAGGCCTTTAAACGGAACCCCTATGCCAAGGGGTTCTGTTCTGTGTAACACAATTTTTAAAGTTTTTATTTTTTTTTAAGAAACATGGGTCTCTCCAGGTTGCCCAGGCTGGACTCAAAAACTCCTGGGTTCAAGTGATCCTCCCAAGTAGCTGGGATTGTGAGTACTGGACCATATTACGTGACTCATGGAAAATGACTAGGATAATGAATAGCCTGGAAATCGCGTTCTAAAAGTTGAAGAAACTGGGGACACTTTATCTGAAAAAAAAATGGTATTTGTAAATCTTTACAGGTATATCTTCGAGTTGAACATAAAGTCAATTCACAGGCTTAAAGAACAAGTAGGACAATCTTGAAAAAGAAGTGTGATGAAGCGTGCAGTTAGAAAAGAGGCCAGTCTCTGTGATATCAATAAAGTGTTGGCCCAAGAATACAGACTGACCACAGGACAGAATAGAAGATCCAGAAATAGACCCAACTGCACTGGAAATTTGGGATACAATGAATCAGCTGGGGAAAAAGACTTTTTAGGAAGTAGTATTGGCATATCTAGATAACCATATGGAAAAGTTGGATCTTTTTCTCATTGTTCACAAGGTTAAATTCCCAGTTTATCAGAAACCTGAATGTAAAAAGTGAAAATAAACAAATACTAGAAAAATTTGGGTAAATTTTTCCATGTATTATGTGTGGGAAAGACCTTACAACTTATGTATTATGTAATTTATGTATTATACATTTTGGGGGGCACCTGCCCACAAAAATTGCAAAGTAAGAAATGACAATCAGAGAAAAAATATTTGTAACATATTACAAAGGAATAATATTCCTAAAATATAAAGAGCTTTACAAATAAGATAAAAACGGTCAGCAAATGGGCTGAAGAAATGAACAGATCTCAGGAAAAGAAGTCTTAAGTAGCTTAACCTCACAGTGAAAGAACTACAAATTAAGCCTAAATTGAGATACAATCTTTCACTTATTTCGGCAAGATCCAAACATTTCACAACATACTCTTGTTGAAAGAATGTGGGGAAAGAAGCACTCTCATACATTCCTGAATTATACAAAAGGATACAACCCCTATGAATGAGAATTTGGCAACGTTTCCCAAAATAATTTGTATGCCTATTGACTCAACAATCCCATTTTGAAAGCTCTATCTCAAAGATAACTAGGGATATAATAACAAATGCTGAAAAGATACATGCAAAAACCTATATTATTCCTTTGTTACACATAATAACAAAGGGCTGAAAACAAAATGTCCATCAATAAAAGAGATGTTGAATAAACCAAAGTATACTATGAAGCTATAAAAAAGAATAACTTTCCAATCGGAAGAAAAACACGCCTGTGGCTCAAAGGAGTAGGGTACTGGCCCCATAAGCTGGGGTGGCAGATTCAAGCCCAGCCCTGGCCAAAAACTGCAAAATAAATAAATAAATAAATAAACAAACATGGAAATCTAGATATCAGAAAGCCCCCGAATTCAAAAATAATAATACTAATTTTCTATACTGCCAGGGGATAGTTTCTAAACACATTTTTTAAAAACAAGACGTAAAGGGGGCGGCAGCACCTGTGACTCAAAGGAGTAAGGTGCTGGCCCCATATACCGCAGGTGGGGGGTTCAAACCCAGCTCCGGCCAAAAACTGCAAAAAAAGACGTAAAGTATTTATAGAGCACTAGTTTTCTCTAAGAAAGTGAAGAAAGATAAATTTTTTATAGCTTTGAGGTAGAATTGACATTGAGTAAATGACATGAATTTAAAGTGTACCATTTGGTAAGTTTTGCTATATGAATACACCTGTGAAGCCATCACCACATAGTGAACATATCCTTCATCTCCAAAAGACTTCTCTCATCCACTTGGCAATCCCATCTCTTATTCCTTTTCACCCCTTCCTGCCCCCCAAACAGAATTTTCTGTCATAAATAATACTTTGCATTTCCTAAAGTTCTATGTAAAACAGAATGATAGTATAATGTACAATATAGTCTATTTTCTCTGGCTTCTCTCCTTCAGTGTAATTTGAGATTCATCCACATTGCTGCATGTATCTGTAATAAATAGTTCATTTGTTTTTGCTGAGGAGTATTTCATTGAAGGATGTACCATCGTCAGTTAATCTGTCACCTATTGGTGGGCATTTGGAGTCCCCCCCCCCCTTTTTGAGCTTTTATTTTTAAAAAGCTGCAAAGAATACTGATACAGAAGTCCCTTATGTCTGTTTACTTTCTCTTGGGTAAATGCTTAGGAGAGGAATGGCTGGATGGTATGACAGGCCTAAGAAACTGACAAACCATTTTCCAAGTAGTTATACTACTTTACATCCCCACCAGCAGTGTTTGATACCTCCAGTTCCTCCACATCTTCTCCCACACTGGGTATAATCAACCTTTTTAATTTTAGCCATTATAATAAGTATGTAGTGGTAACTCACTGCAGTTTAAATTTGCATTTCTCTGAAAAGTAATGAACGTGTTTTAATATGTCTGTTTATATTCTTTGATGAAGTGTTATTTTATTGGGTTATGTTTTTTTAATGGGTCTTGAGAATTTTTTATATATTCTGGATATAACTCCTTCATCAGATAAATGCTTTGCAGTGATTCTTTCCCAGTCTGTGGCTTACATTTTTCATTCACTTAACAGTATATTTTGATGAGAAGTTTTTTTTTCAATTAAGTCTACATTATCAAATTTATCTTTTGTGAATCTCTTTTCTTAGATTTTGTGTCCAATCTAAAAAATCTTTGCCTAACCTGAGTTCAACAAAAATTATGTCTTATTTTTCTCCTAGAAGTTGTATAGTTTTAGGTTTTACTCTTAGGTTTAGATCAACATCTTGCATATAAATATCCAATTGTTTCAGTACCATTTGTTGAAACTTTCCTTTCTCTACTTAAATTGGCTTTTCGCCTTTGTCAGAAGTCTGTTGTCATATATGTGTGGACCTATTTGGGGGTTTTCTATTTTGTTCCTATGGTCATGATTCATCTGCTGTCCTAACTACTGTAGCGTTCTGGTCAGCCTTCAAATTAGGCAATGCTTGAGCTATTCTAGATCCTTTGCATTTTGCATATGAGTTATACATTCACTACATCATTTTCTACACAAAAAAGCATTATTGGAATTTTGATTATGGTTATCTTGACTCCAGTGATCAAATTGTGGAGCTTAACAATATCCTTAGTTTTCTAACTCATAAACACAATGTATGCCTCCATATATTTAGGTCCCCTTTAATTTCCATCAGCAATCTTTTATAGTTTTTGCTGACTTTTTTGTCAGATTTATCCTTTTTATATATTTTTGATACTCTTGTACATAGAATTTTTAAAATTTCAATTTCCAACTGTTCATTGCTAGTATTATTATACAGAAATACAATTGCTTTTAGATGTAAATCTTTATCTAGCACTTTCCTGAACATCCTAGTTCTAGTAGCTTTTTTGTAGATCCCACCAGATTTTATGTGTAGACAATCACGTTATCTGCAAATAAAGGCAATTTTCCTTCTTCCTTTTAGATGTACTTTATCTTGTCTTCTTGCCTTAGTACATTGGCTATTGCCTTACTGCACCCCAGTACAAAGGTGAATAGATGTGGTCCAAGTAGACACCCTTGTTTTGCTTCTGATCTTGGGGAAACACATTTAGTCATTCACCATTAAGCACGATGTTAGTTCTAAGTTTTTCACGGAGGCTATTTCCATGAAATAAGTTACTTTTTACTCCTAGTTTGTGTATTGGTTGGATTTTTTTTACATCACTAACTAATGTTGGATTTCTTTCAAGTGTTTTTTCTTTGTCTATTGAACTGAACATTTCAGTTGTCTTTTTTACATTTGTCAATATGGTGAATTACATTAGTTGATTTTCAAATGTTAAATGAATCTTGCATCGTTGGGATAAAAGCTATTTAGTCATGGTATATTTTCCTTTTTATACATTGTTGGATTTGATTTGCTAATATTTTATTTAGAATTTTTGTTCATGAGAGATACTGATTTGTGGTTTTCTTCTTTTTGTCTTGTTTTGGTGATGTGGTAACAATGGCTTCAGATTAGCTGGTAAATATTCTCTGCTGTTCAATGTTTTAGAAGAGTTTGTGTAGAATTCTTCCTTAAAGATTCAACAGAAGCTACCTTTGAACCCATCTTGGCCTGGGATTTTGTGTAAAGGTTTTTAACTATAAATCTAATTACTTTACTAGCCTTAAGGTTACTGAGGTTATCTGTGTCTTCTGGAGTGAGCTTTTGCAGTTTGGGTCTTAGACAGAAATTCTTCATTTCACCTCAGTGGTCATAACTGACGTAAGTTGCTCATAACTGTCCCTTTTTAATGTTGTAACATCTGAAGAATCTGTAGTGATGTGCCTCTCTGCTGATGTTGGTTGTCTGCGTCTCCTCATCG